CCAAAGATATGTGGTATAAAACAAGATGGATATATGATTTTTTTTTTTTTGTGTATAAATTTTTTAGCTTGTTGAGTGATTGTGAACATTATAGTTTCATGTTTTGATTTGTTTTAATAAATGTTGAAATTTCAATTGCTCTTACTATTTGTATAAAGCAGCATTTAGTGTTTAAACTTACCGGAAAGGTGAAGGAAGTTATCCTCCAACTACAGAAACTGCTTGTTATAGGACAAAACATTCCTACCAAGGAGGCACTGCCAGCAAACAAGTAGGTTAAAGAGAAAACACCAGGACAGAAGCAGAAACACCACACCAAACATTACCCAACACAGACACCACCTTCCTCTCATTGATATATAGCAATTTCCAAAATATATTTCGTATTTAAAAAATAATTTAAATTGTAATATCAAAATCAAAAAATTCAAGTTAATGAAACTTCTGATAGAAAATCTCAGAATGATAAAACATTTTATATAACAATATGCCTTCCTATATTGACCAATCACAATCATGTTTGAGTGAATTCAAAAAATGTCATTTTTTTCTTCATTTTGCACAATTTCATTAGGAAGAAGACAGAAACCATACAGTGGATTTAAAAATATCCAGAGATCTGAATAATTTACAGAGCAAGAGTCTCAATTCTAAGGCTTCCTTAACCTTTTTTCACATCAAAGCCATTCAAGATAACAAGAAGTGAACTAAATTCAACCCAATTCCATTTCCTCAAAATTACTGTAAGAGTTTTAAATAAATCTTTTTTCTTAACAAGTCTTCCATTATTTTTACTCATTTTTATTGTGATGGATTTTTTTCTGTGTAACCATCCTTTTTTTTTAATTTTCCAAAAGAAGAACAGACATCTTTTTCAATCAGCACCAATATACAAGACGAGGAATCGTAGCATAAACAACATGATGCAGACCCATCTTCAAAAACATTAATCCTCTGTGTTCCCTTCTATGTCTTAACATTATATTCCTCTTTTATTTACCATTAATGATAATACAATAGCGAATTTACAAGGACCACAAATATTATTACTTTTCTTTGAACTATATATCCCATGATTATACATAATAAATATAACCTTGGATTAACTATGTATATGTTTTCTATTTAAATTTTTGCTGTACAAGAATTACTTCAATTTATTATTCACTCATATGCCTAACTTACTTTGTATGAAGCAGCACTGTTGTTTGATTTTTTTGGCTTTGTTGTGGAGAAAAAACTTGGTGTTCTTTTGAAGGATGCTGGGATTTCTTGGTTTCCGACTAATTGAGGTCCTCCCTGCCATCTCCTGCCTCCAAATATCTAAAAGAAACAAATTTACTTTAAATATCTGGGGAAAATACAGTAAAACCTCATTATCTCCAACTCCATGGGACAGAAGAAAAACTTCCAGATATCAAGGATAAAATTCTTTAAGAATAAGTGGTTGGGACTTCCAAATCACTTCGACATATCCATTCGAGATATTGGTGTTAGAGATATTCTTATTCTTATTGAAGTTCAACTGTATATGATCTTGGTCTATAGGAAATTGATAACAGGAATAAATATCTAACAATTTATCAGTATATATACAAGTGATATGAATGCAATAATATGTTGGTTTTTTCAGCCTCAGAAGTTTTCAGGAAAACCTGTGACTTTATAATTCTTCACTTGATGGAACTCGATTCTTTTGCACTGAAGGTAAGAAACATTCTTCAGCTAGGAAAATGTGCTGTTGAATTATCTGATCACTGTAGATTTTATTAAAGACACATAAGAAAACAATATTGGTGAAATATCTTGCTGAACATTCAGTGAACCACGTACCCTTAATATATTTAAGAAGTGCTAGTCTTCTTGTATTACATATTTGTTGATACTTTTCGCTATGACAACACTTCTAATTGGATTCATCTAATTCTTTCTCAGAGAATTGTTACTTTTCAAAGTTGATAAAATTCTCTATACAATCTAAATTAGACTAAACATACTACTTAAAGTACAACCTTGGCATTACATCATGATACAATGTACTTTCAGCATACTGATTGTTCGAATCAGTTTATTGTCTCTAACATTAACAATGCTATGCCCTAGAAATCTCATGAGATTTACAGCTTCATTCATTTTGCTGCAAAAAACAGGTTGTAAGCGAGATAACTGCAAGGTTATCATGATCTTAAGTATTTTAATGATACTTAAAATAGATTTTTTTTTATTAAAAAAAAACACCCCCCCCCCCCCCATTTCATCTCTGTATTATTTATGCCAGTTATCCTTATACATGAAGTAACTAAAGATATGTCCGTAGGACATGAATTCCCCACCTACGGTTCATTAGTAATGCAACACAAAAAAATATCATGAATAGTTTTTTTGAACTAAACTAAATGCAAATTAAAGAAAAGTGAAAACAAGGGAAAAGGAAAGGTCAAGGTCAAAAGTTTTGAATGCAGTAGCACTCACCAACATGTATCCACATATGAAGTTTGATAAAAATGTCTTGAATAGTTTCTTTTTAAACTTAGCTAAAAACAAACTAAGAAAGGTGAGGTCAAAGTCTAAGAAAAGTTCAGGTCAAAAAATGTTGGTGAAGTTGCATAGCTCTTACCAATATGTATCAACATTTAAAGTTTGATAAAAATATCTTGAATAGTTTCTTTGAGCTAAATATAAATATTGATGGTTTTAGCGCCATCCCTCAGGCCCCTGGTAGAGGAAGGAATAATAAAATTCAAAAAATTTGTTCCCCTTCACACATAGATGCTATATATAAAAATTAGTTGAAATTAGCTCAGCTGTTCCAGAGAAGAAGCTGAAAATGTTGAAATGTTAACACGTGATGGATGACAACAGATAGCAATAGGTCACCCGAGTGACTCAGGTGACCTAGAAAATTTGATGAAGCTGAATAGCTCTCAGAAACATGTATCAGCATATGAGGCTTGATAAAATATTTGAACTTTTATTTGAAATTGAGCTAAATACTAATTTAAGAAAAGTGAGGTCAAGGTCAAATGAAAGGTCAAGGTAAAAAAAAAGTTGATGAAGTTGAATAGCTCTTACCAATATGTATCTTACCATATATTATATACATATAAGGTTTGATAAAAACATCTTGAATATATAGTTTCTTTGAAACTGAGTTAATTAAAGCAAATTTTTGAAAAGTAAGGTCAAGATAAAAAAAAAATGTTGATGAAGTAGAATAGTATCAGCTTATGGAGTTTGATAAAAATACCTTGAATAGTTTCTCTGAAACTGAGTTAAACACAAAATAAGGTGGAAGGACAGATGGAAGGAAGGACAAAAGATGGACATGACAAACACTATATGCCCTGGCAATAATCACAGCAGGGAATAAATAAAACAAGAGGCCCATTGGCCACATCGCTCACCTGAGCACATTGGTTAGGAAAAAAAGCAAAAATCAGTACAGTATTGAAAAGTTTACAGGGAGGGGGGTGTTGAATTTTAAACTACCTGATGATGCTTTCATATCAATATAACAAATGGCTTTGTTGTTCTTGAGCAGCAGATTTTTTTTCCCATATATTCATTTGTAAAAATTTGATCCCCCATTGTGTCCCCACCCTATCCCCGGGGGCCCTCATTTGAACAAATTTCATTCTACACTACCCAAAGATGCCTCCATATCAATTTGACTAATCATGGCTTTTCTGTTCTTGAGAAAAAGACTTTTTCCTATATATTCCTCTGTAAACTTTGATCCCAAATTGTGGCCCCACCCTACCCCCGGGGGCCATGATTTGAACAAACTTGAATCTTCACTATCTGAGGATGCTTCCATATAAATATGACCAATCATGGCTTTACTGTTTTTAAGAAGATTTTTAACGATATTTTCCTATATATTTCTATGTAAAACTTTGATCCCCCATTGTGGCCCCACCCTACCCACGGGGGTTATTATTTGAACAAAGTTGAATCTTCACTACCTGAGGATGCTTCCATATAAATATGACCAATCATGGCTTACTGTTTTTAAGAAGATTTTTAGAGATATTTTCCTATATATTTCTATGTAAAACTTTGATCCCCCATTGTGGCCCCACCCTACCCCCGGGGGTCATGATTTGAACAAACTTGAATCTTCACTACCTGAGGATGCTTCCATATAAATATGACCAATCATGGCTTTGCTGTTCTTAAGAAGAAGATTTTTAAAGATATTTTCCTATATATTTCTATGTAAAACTTTGATCCCCCATTGTGGCCCCACCCTACCCCCGGGGGTCATGATTTGAACAAACTTGAATCTACACTACCTGAGGATGTTTCCACATGTTTCATCCTTCCTGGCCCAGTGGTTCTTGAGAAGAAGATTTTTAAATGATGCCATTATTTTTTCACTAATTCCTAATTATCTCCCCTTGAAAGAGGGCGTGGCCCTTCATTTGAACAAACCTGAATCCCCTTTACCCAAGGATGCTTTGTGGCAAGTTTGGTTGAATTTGGCCCAGTGGTTCTTGAGAAGAAGATGAAAATGTGAAAAGTTTACAACAATAACGACAACGACAGACAACGGACAAATTTTGATCAGAAAAGCTCACTTGAGCCTTTGGCTCAGGTGAGCTAAAAACAAACAAGATCATCATACTTGTCAAATTTTCCTCCTAGCTACTTTTCAAAATTACATTCTTATCACTGACAGTGGTTCCACCCCTGAAGTTTTAAATATTCAACTACTGTAGATCAACTCAATTTTTGCAACAGCTTATTTTCGCAAGATAGTATTGGTATTTATAAGCGAGACATAATTTTCATGGCTTATGGTTATTGGTATATATAAAATATATGATTCACATCTTAAATCAATAGTGGGATAATATACAAGTTATACCTGTTGTCATTTTTATGATCTAAAGTTGCACTTGATATTTCTATTGCGTGTAACATATTGAAAATAATATTCTATAAAAGGTTCAATACCTCACATCTGACAGAACAATAAATTATTAATTGCAGCTTAGAATGTTGACTAAATCCCTGCTTCTCTGTGCAGTTTTTGTCTGTGGAGCTCTAGCATGTAAACTTTAAATCTTTTAATAACTAATTTCCATTTTTTTTTATTGATGTAACTTCAATAGTAAGGTACAAGTCAAAATTTATGCAATGAATGTTTTTTGAACACAGAAACATTGTAAACTTCAAGCAAAAACTCAAATTTTTAAAGGCTCATATTGATTAAATTTTGCCTAATTACCTCAGTTTCCTTTAACCTTAATTACATTGATTAAGCAATTTTAATTCTCCTTTTCAGACAAATACATTAACATAGGTTGCATGCAAGAAGTGTCACACAGATTATTAACAGCAAAAGCTGGAAAGCTAAAAGTCAACAGTCCGTGGCATTGCCAGGAGTTCTGCAAGGGGTATCTCTACTTTGGAGTACAAGTATACATTCTTTATAATAATTCATTTTACAAACGCAAACAGATTCATTAAATATTTTTCCTTGTGTATATATACTGTGAAATCGTCCTTTGTGGGGAATCAACGCTCGTGGATTTCAGGGTCAACCTTATCCACAAATTTACATCCACAAAAACAATCTTTGTCAGCATACTGGTCCATTGAATATTCTGTATATACTGGACTCCTCACAAAATTATGTACCCACGAGCCAATATAATTTTGGTTGCCCACGAACATTGACCTCAAATAAAAATTATTCCACAGTATTCAAACTGTAATGCAAATGTAAAATTGGTCTTGCAGTTTTTGGTCTACAACCAAGACTGCATGGAGCTATCAGTGTAAAATGTAAAAAAAAAAAAAAAAATTCAATTCAATATTTGTTTTTGATATCACAATGTAGAACACTAATTACTGCATCAAAAATTAATATTAATCACACAAAAATCTTTGCAATAACTATTTAACCTTGAACTTGTACCAAAGTAACATTAAGGTTTCCAAATCATGCGAGTTTGTACTGTGTATAAGTTTTCTTCACATATTCAAACTTCTTTACAGTACGGAAAGGAATGTTTCTGTGGCAACAACTTTTCAGGAAATCTAGTGAAGGTTTTGAAGTGTAATATGAGATGTGCTGGAAACACCCTCCTCTTCTGTGGTGGCAACATGGCAATGGATATATATGCCAGGGTTTCTTGAAATGTTAATTTCAATAAATACATTATAAACTTATGGCCTAGTATGAATTCTATTTTGAGAGAAAGACAGACCATCTACATTGAACCATTGTCAATCGAACTTAATCAAGCTTAAGGACATTGGCAAGGTTCCTGGTTATTGTATAGAATTTTTCAAGAACTTTTGAGTAGGTTTAAATGTACTAAATATGCTATATTCTGGATCGTTTTACCTACCAATCCAGCATTCTTTTTTAGATTTTGTCAAATTATTGTTTTTACAATTCTTAATGCATTTCCTATGTAAAATGTTGATAAAAGGGACCTACATAATTTTTCACCATAAAATTTCTTCAAATCCCATTTATTTCATACAGTTTTTGTATTATATACATTATTGTAACTTCATTTCCTATGACTTCTAGATATTTTGGTTGAAAATATATATATAGAAAAAAGACATGGATATACCGGCACCGATCATCATTTTTGAGTTGCGTCCCTTAACAGCTAAAATTGGTCAAGTGATTGGTTGATTGTTTTTATCATGTAATTGACTGAATTGATTGAAATACATTGTCATAAAAATATTGGCATGGATTTATTTTTAACTTTTATTCGTAATTACTAAATGCTGATTCCTTCACACGACCTAAGAACTGTTCTCAGTCGGCATGGTCGACATACCTTTCAGCATATGTCACATCTTTGCCCTTCCCAGCATACTGAGCATAACTATGGTAAATGACGACCTGTTTGCTCTTTGTCCCTGAATACAATGTACAACAAAGCCATTACTACTTTTCTTTCTTGCTGTATAGATGATTCTACCCGTTGAAGGAAGTACACGTGCTTTTGTTTACCTCTATAACATATGCTTTACTGGTTTTCACCGCTTAGAGAATTCTACACGGGAGATCACTCTCAATCACTATTTTACAAGTGAAAAAACCCATGTATTAAACCTTTTTTCTCCGGAAAGCCCTGACTTGCTAATGTCCTTAAATTATCACATACGTAAACAAACAATATAATTAGAAAAGAGCATCATAGGCTCAATGTTTAAATTTTACAAGAAGACATTAATTGAAACAGATTCCACTCGGAACTTAAGGACACACAGACATGCACTAACTGGATTCAGATTCTGGAATCAACAGATTTAAGGCAAAATAAAGCAATTCTATGTTCAAGATACTGAATTTGACATATTCCAGGCAGAATTTTGTGCAGATCAGTAAGTAGCTAGAAACCATAAAAACAAGTCCTAGTACGTCAAATTTTTATTTGGTACGTACTTCATCCCCAGTTGAAATGACAAATTAACTAGACTTGAACAGAAGCATTATTTTTATGTTTTCATTTTTCACAACATACAATTGCTCAAAAATGTTTCAATCAGTTGTGATTAGTCAAAAAAATTTCAACATGGACTTGAAGAGAAGAAAAAATTTGGGGAAAAAAATCCAACATCGGAGGATAAAATCTAGACATGGACTTCATAATTGTCCCACATAATATAAGGATACCACAGGAGAACATTAAGGAACAACAAAATTCATAGTTTTGATTTTAAATAAGATTCATTAAAAATTTCATCACGTTTGTACAAATACAAAAATCATGCTTCAGTCACATGATATGTCTCTCCACTCAAACATAGTACGTATGTCCTCAAAATAGGATAAAACAATGATGATCATGAGGAAAATCGCTTTCCCTTAACATTTCCGCATTTACGTAAGAGAATCCCAGAATTCTAAATGCGGTCAGGGCATTCACAATTTCCCTTCACAGCTGACAAAGAGATGCCTTAACTATGTCGTTTACGATTTTGTGGTGTCATTTTTGATAAATTAGACGAGTCATGCTGGCTTCTTCGGTCTGAGTTTATGTCAAATCTATAAAATTACCATACCAACTGTAAATTTATTCATATGAAACCAAAGACATATATAACATCCTTGTACAGTTGCAGGGCACAGTGTGCTAAAAATTATTACTTTCATTAATAAACTCTGATAGAAACTGCACATCAAAGAAGCAGTGGCTTATCCTGGTTAATATGATAATAAAACAGGCCTTAATCTTACACAAATACTGTTATTGATGCAGAACCTAAGGGTTCTTACATAGCCTATATATTGCATGTACTTTGTTTTAGCAGCATCACAATAGATATTTCAATGAATACTGTAGAGGGGAATTCTTTAGCTGGTGTAAAATTTGACATTTTGCTTATGCAAAGATATGCCAATAATTTTGGCGGAACTTATTTTTGTGGACACAGATCTCTAGTAAGTTGCAAACCAGAAGCATAATCTTGCATCACTTAACAGAAAAGTACTTCTGTAAAAGAAACAGAAGTATTTTATAAAATCAAATATTAAAATAGGTCAGATTATATGAATTACAGTGGTAGTGGGTTTAATGTAGAATCAAATACCCGTAAATCGGAGAGAGCTCAAAAGTTCATCTTGCTAATGAGTTTTTAGTAACTGTATGTCTATATATTTGAAAACAGTTTTACTGGAAAGGAGAAAAACGCTATGGATCAGATGGTGATTCAACCCAGGCACCCTGAATCTCCAGTCAGGTGCTCTACCAACTGAGCTATCTGGCCACTGGCAATAGAATCTGTCTGATCGCCTTATTATATTCTTGTCATGGCACCAAATGTAACCAGAAAGTAGAAAAATGCTACGAACGAGATCAGGATTCTAACCAGGGCCCCCCTTTATTTCCATAGAAAATTTCAATTTCATATTGTGGTCTACCCTAGCTCCAAGGGGTTACGATTTTACTGAACTTGAATCCACATGACATGGGATGTTTCAATATGATTAACATGGCCTTGCTGTTCATCAGAATTTCCTGCACTGATCTCTGATTTTAGCCCCATCATAACATTGGCAGATCAAGGGGATGGGGTGGGCTGGGGGTCCAGGGGTGGGGGTTAAGGGGTTGGAACACTCCCCCCCCCCTTTATTTTTGCAGAGAGAAAGACAGAAAGAGAAAGTTTTTCCTGTAATAGATATTTTTTATGCCTAAATATGTTTGAATAAAACAAATAGTTCAATCTCTGTTCTTTCTACTCACTAGATAGAGTCTCACATATTTGCTTTCCTCCACGTACCTTCACTATCCCTGGCCACTTACACACTGAAGCTTACAAATTTATAAGGTTGTCATAAAACATTTTCATTAATGAGTGATTGAAAGAAAATGTTCTACTTAATTCACCATAAGCACCAATAAACCCCAGAACCATGATTTGAACAAAATTAATCTACACTATGTCAGGAAGCTTTTATACAATAAGTTTCATCTTTTCTGGCTCAACAGTCAATTCTTGATAAGATTTTTTAAATTAAGACATCTGTATTTTTGCCTTGTCTTGATTATCTCCCCTTGCAATAGGACAAGGACCTTCATCTGAACAAAACTGAATACTCTTTACCCAATGGTATTTGAATGAAGATATAATTTTCATCTTTTATGGATGATGGAATGCGAATTCTTAAAAACTGAATCGACATTTGAATGCAAATTTTTAAAACTGACATTCCAAAGCCATATAGGGCTGTTTGGACCAGTTGAAAGATAAATAATAATAATAAACAAGTTTATCAGTAAAATATATGGTTAATTAACAAAAATCATGCTTTTAGCAAAGGAATGCATATAATGCAGGAAATAATACCTGAAGTGAGGGAAAAAAAGTGGCGGTGTAAATCAAAGGTTTTTACAATGCTTGGATGTGTAGCTCTGGTTTATCTGTCCAAATTTTCTCAACCATAGAGCTACAGTTCTGCAGCTAGTACTATACCGTCCTTAGATACAAATTTTGCTATCAAGGATGTTACATGTATAAAGGGAAAAGCCTATCAGATATTTATCAACCTCAAATATTTTAAAGATAATATCTGAAACTGAAACAAACTGCACACTATAGATACAGGTTTTATCTATAAAATGACATATTCTTATAAATACTGAATACTATATAGGATAAAAGTTTTGAAGTCTAATGATTTTACTACATCATCACCATTAATCCACTACTAGGTGCTAAATTATTCCCATGTCACCCTGATTAATGGAATTCCACACAGCTGATGTTCCAGCAAGTGAACAAAGTGAAAACAAAGCATGGTAATATTGGTAAACAAGATTTCCTGGATATAAGTCAGTACATGTGATCCACGTACTCACAATGTAGCACTAGATACGTAAACCTTGGGAATTGACCCATTAAGTGATCAAAATACCATCGGTAAAAACAAACAACCATAAAGTTCGTAAGGATATGCACACTTCTCAGAAGAAAAGCCTGATACAAATTAGATCATATCCACCCAGGAGAGGTGTCTAAAGGTCCAAACTGATCAACTCATTTGATATAATTTGATTATCAATGTTAATATCACAATAAATTATTCCAATATTTAATCTTTCTACTTTAAAGATCAATATTCAACAGCCCCAATAGCTGCCAGTTATTTCATTGTTACATTAGTTTTGGATATCAAATCTTATGATAAAGTTATTTGTACATGTACATTCCTTTAAAATATAATTGGTTATCCATGTATAAGTAGACAGATAAACCAGTAGGTGTATATAGGAATATGTGTAAATCTCTAAAAAATCTTTGAACAGTCATATAAAAATACATGTAGATATGTATATCCGAGTTTCCCATTTCTTCCACTCTCCCCAATACAAAATCATTGCCTCCTTACCTTAATGGCTTCTGCGGGAGTGGGTCCTTGGCATTTCTCTCCTTCATAAAATAACTGTAGATACTGAAACTTCAGATGTTGAATCCGTTTGTCTGTCTGCCATCTCATCTTCTGAAAGGCGTTGATGATCTTCCTCAGTCCTGTTAACCAGATCTTAGCCATGTTATAGGGTGCCACAAAATACAGCTTCCTGTTCTCTGAGTGCCCCACCCCGTACAGGAGGGATATGACATTTTGACGGGGAGTAAGGCCCTCGAGGCAGTATCTCTTGGACAGGGCTGCAATGTCGATGGACTCCTCCACCCCAGAA